GTGATTAAGTGATTAAGTGATGCTTAGATTGTTGACTCTTCCCTGACTAAATGACTAAATGATCCTAATGCTGTTAAACCCTCAATTACCCATTTCCCAGTTTCTCTTCACAGGACACCTCGGGATTTTCAAGTATCTCATATTGGTGAGTTCAAGAGAAAACACAGCAGTCAAATGAACTCTATTACACTCTGAAAAGAATGGAGACTGTCTGTGATCTATTGACTGCTCTGTGTGTGTGTGTGTGTGTGTGTGTGTGTGTGTGTGTGTGTGTGTCTTTTGGTTTCTGGCCTGATCCAGGAGTGCTCAGGGCTTACTTGCCTCTGTGCTCAGGGACCATTTCTTGGTGATGCTCAGGGGACCATATGTGTTGCCAGGTATTGACCACTGGTCGAATAGTGTACAAGGAAAGTGTCTTAACTCCTGTATTATCTCTGGCCCTCTATTTACATCTTGTAAAATATGTATGACAAAGTCTACCTGGTGAAAACATTACTGACTTACTTAAATTTTGGGTCATAAACTTTGTTTCCCAGGATCCATTGGAAGTACTTTCTAGCCAGGGGAAATTATTTATGTAGTTTGATCTTGTAAGGCGCGGTGGGGGGGAGTCTTCTGCCCCCGCGCCTGACTGTCCTAGCTCGCCGGGACCCCTTGGAGGGGATCGGGTTGAGCTTTCCTCCCCGCCCTGACCAGGGCCCCAGCAGCTAAAGACCTCCAGGACCAGCCACCACCATGCTGAGACCACTCTCCGCACACATGAAGGTACTGGCAGAGGGACAAAGTCACGCGGGTTCCGAGGCCGAGATCTCCAAGCCTACTCGGATTTGGGCCGAGCATCCTCCACCCAGATCCTCCAACAGTAGGCGGGGATTACACCCACCAACTGGCCCCCTGGCGCCGTGTAATCCTCGGCCGCGCGACATCTTATTATGACATCTTATTTTCTCATTCCTACTTTGGACAAACTGGCAGGCTACCGAATGTAGCCTGCCCACAGGGCAGAGTCTGGCAAACTCCCCTTGGCGTATCCAATATGCCAAATACCAGTAACAATGATGGGTCTCATTCTCCTAAAGAGCCTTGAATATAATCTCAGGGCTAGGATGAAGGAGACGTTACTGGGGCCTGCTAGAGGCAATCGACGAATAACAGGATGATTTGTGATTGTGATTTGTGATCTTGTAAACCCAAATAGAGATCTTTTCTCTGTAGACATTTTCCATATTGTTTTTTAAGTCTTGTGTCTCAAGATTTAGATTACATAATTTTTAAGTATATGTGAATATGATACTAAAATCAGGTGAGATGAGAAATAAGTTATATTGCTCTCTTTAAATACTCTCTTTAAATAACTCCTTTTTTGTGGAGTTCATACCCAATTCAATCAGCTTAATCAATGGCTGAACAAATAACAGTACTCCTACTTTATTTGAAAAGAAAAAACTCCTTTTTAATTTCTCTTTTTAAAATATTTTTTTGTTCTGTTTTTGAGCCACGCCTGGAGATACTCAAGGGTTACTCTTGGTCCTGCCATCAGGAATTACTCCTGGCAGTGCCTGGGAGAACATATAGGTGAACTCAGGTGGGACATATGCAATGTACTATTGCTCTGACCCCTAAAACTTTTTATTTTTCATTAGACTCCAGTTTCTAATAATGTAGTAACGTGTTACATGTTCTTCAGTAAAATCAGGACAATGAACTGCACCAACTCAATGTTATTTGAATGGACACAGTAATATGGAGAGAAAAGGTAGAATTATAAAAAGTTCTAACTGTCTAAATAAGGTTAGAGAAAGTCAGTAGGGACCAAGGAGATGAATAGTGGGTCGGTCACTTGCCTTCCACCCGAGCCCCTTCCCTGGCACCAATTTCTGACACTGCAAAGAGTGATTTTGAGCACAAAGCCAAGAGTGAAAGTTCTGAACACCTCCAGTGTGAGCCCCCAAATAATTTCCCGATTTCATAATTTTCAAGAGGTATATTGAAGTAGCATGCAAATCACTGTCCTCCCGTTGTTCATCGATTTGCTCGAGCGGGCCCAGTAACGTCTCCAATGGAGACTTTGTTGTTACTGTGTTTGGCATATCGAATACATCATGGGTAGCTTGCCAGGCTTCTCGGTAGCTTGCCGGGCTCTCCGAGAGGGGCAGAGGAATCGAACTCGGGTTGGCCATGTTGGCTGCGTGCAAGGCAAATGCCCTACCGCTGTGCTATCACTCCAGCCCAGCATGCAAATGAAAAACAGAAAAGAACTCACACCTGCCTTGCCGATGAGAAATAAGGACAAATCCTTGACCTCTGAGAAGACCAAGTAAAGAGGGGAGGCAGAAGAGAGGAAGGACGGGGCAAACCAGAGGGGTATTAAGGACAGAGATGGAGCATCTGGGTGGTGGTGACAGAGCAGTGACTTTATACAATGAGACCACAAAAGACAACAGTATTATAACCACGTTATCTAAACTAGAACAGAAAATAAAAGTAAAGCAAAGAAAACCCCAGACCATTGTGAATGCAGCAGAGCCCATCTTGCTGACTCCCTCAGTGCATGAACTTTAAGATAATACACTTCTCCCGTTCCTCAGTTTCCCTAGCTGTCAGAGTTCCTCTAACAGTACAACCACCTTATGGGAGGGATGTTGAAATAACGTTAAATGTAAATTACTGAGCACGCTACTTGGCTCATAACAGACACTCAGAACTGCAATAACCACTAACTCCTCCTCTTGAATATTTACAATCCCTGATCCTGGGAGGCAGTAGGGTAGCACTGTAGCACTGTCCTCCCGTTGTTCATCAATTTGCTCGAGTGGGCACCAGTAACATCTCACAACAAATTGTGAGACTTGTTGTTACTGTTTTTGGCATATTGAATATGTCACAGGGAGTTTGCCAGGCTCTGCCCTGTGGACGAGATACTCTCCGTAGCATGCCGGGTTCTCTGAGAGGGGCGGAGGAATCGAATCCGGGTTGGTCATGTCAGCCGCCTACAAGGCAAATGCCTTACCCATGTATTGGCATTTATTTACATCTCACCTAATTTTCCTCTTTTTGCTTTCAGATTAGAATAAGACCTATGCTTTTGGAGACTGTTTTCAAGTTAAGAATTTTGTGTATATTGGGATAGCAGACAGTACTTACTGCAAGGCAAGAACATTAGGTTCTACTTGTGTTTCCTCAGGGAAGACCTCTCGGCCTTCACGTCCTTGTGCCATTTAAATGGAATGCTCTTCCCAGGAAGATGATCCTCCAGGTCACTGATAATGCAGACGAAGTCTCATTTAACTGCTTACTGCCTTGCAGAAACACTGGGTTAGCCACCAGCATTTGTCCTGCTCCCACCAGAATCACACTCACTTTCAACGGCCAGCTAATGGGAGATTTCATACAAATCTCTGTCTAATGTGGATGATGAAACAAAAGTTAAGGCTGGTGGTTGTTCAGCCCAGTTTTGTTAAGTGTGTTTTGGTGGAGTATCACAGGATGCGTTTGTAGGTAGATTCTGCCTAACTAAGGAAAATGCTCAGCATGGACTTTATATAGATAACGAGAATCATTTCATAGTAGTAGAAAGCATTTATGCACAAGTCTAAAGGCTACTTGGTTGAAGTGATTTTGATCTTGGAGACTGGTGCTCACAGAGCATAGAATAAGGAAACTGACTAGTGGCAGAGCCTCATCCAAGCAGCAATTTTGTTAGAAGTTCCCTTAAGACCTTTCTTTCTTTCTTTCTTTTTTTCTTTCTTTCTTTCTTTCTTTCTTTCTTTCTTTCTTCTTTCTTTCTTTCTTTCTTTCTTTCTTTCTTTCTTTCTTTCTTTCTTTCTTTCTCTCTCTCTCTCTTTCTTTCTTTCTTTCTTTCTCTCTTTCTCTCTCTCCTTTCTTTCTTTCTTTCTTTCTTTCTTTCTTTCTTTCTTTCTTTCTTTCTTCCTTGGTAAAGAACAGCAGGGCGCTTCCAGATTATTGGGGTGTATGTGTGTATGGGAGGTTAGGGGAAGGAAATCTCCTAAAATAGGACTGATTTTTTTTATTTGTTTAAAAATGTATATGAGGGTCTGGGAAGACAGTATAGCGGGTAAGGCACTTGTCTTCCTGGTGGTTTGATCCCTGGCATCTCTTATGGTCCCCTGAGTCTGTCTGGAATAATTCCTGAGTGCAGAGCCCTGAGTAATCCTGGAGAATCTCTGGTGGTGGCCCCCAAACAAAAACTAAAACAAAACAAAAGCACATGAATATCAGTCCCTCATGTGGCAGAACTTAGACCTGGCCTTGGAGAGTGTGATGTCACACATCAATGAGAGACTAATTTCTCTATTATTGTAATTACTAAATTTCATACTGACACGTTGATCTACCTGGGTCTCTCTTTAGCCTTGATTTTTTTTGTATGTGGGGTATATTTTGGTTTGTATTTAGATCTATGTTTATACATCCATTTCTCTTTATTTATATGATTTATCACATATTTATGAATTCAGCAAGTAGTTCAACTCTTGGCACATTGAAAATATCCAAGAGAAGCTTTTGAGGGACCTGAAATATAGTGTAGCAAGCTAATCCTTGGTGAGCAGAAGATGTGTGTGTGGCCTCTGGGAGCAGCCTCCAGGGCGCAGCTGGGAGTATCCCCTGAGCATCATTGCTTGGGGCCGAAAATAAAACAGAACAAGGCCAAAGAATAAAGAAGATGGAGAAGGAGAAGGAGGAGAAGGAGGAGGAGGGGAAGGAGGAGGAGGAGAATAAGAATAATAAGAAAGAGGAGGAGGAGAAGGAGAAGCAGGAAGAGGAGGAGGAGAAGGAGGTGGAGGAGGAGGAGAAGGAGGTGGAGGAGGAGGAAGAAGAGAAGGAAGAGAAGAAGGAGAAGGAGAAGAAAAGAAAGAAGAAAAAGAAGAAGAAGAAGAAAAGAAGAAGAAGAAGGTTCTTTGTATAAACAAAACAAAATCTTCTGTAGGTCTAGTAATATTTCCTTGCTTCTCTAAATTTTGAATTTTTACATATATAACTCATGACTCTGCTGACCATTTCTTTGCCAACAGCAGCCTTTTCACTGCACTCTTGACGTCTTTGTTTCTCAGCGTGTAGATCAGAGGGTTCAGGCTGGGAGTGATGATGCTGTAGAAGAGAGTCAGGAACTTGCCCTGATCGGGGGCTGTGTTGTTACTCTGGGGCTTCATGTACATAGACATGAGTGTCCCATAGAAGAGAGTCACCACGGTGAGGTGGGAGCCGCAGGTGTTGAGGATTTTTTTCCATCTTCCTGCAGACTTGATCCTCATCACAGCACGAGTGATGATGCCGTAAGATATGAGAATTAGTGATAATGGCACCAGAAGATATATCACTCCAAGATAAAAGGCCACAGTCTCAACTACTTTTGAAGAAGCACAAGCCATCTTGATAAATGCTGGCATCTCACAGAAAAAATTATCCACTTCTCGGTGCCCACATCTTGGCAACATCAAAGTCAAAGTGGAAAGAAGTATGGAACACCCAGCAGTCGTTAGCCAGGCAGCCAGCACCATCTGGTGGCAGAGCCGAGGGTGCATGATCACCGTGTAGTGCAGAGGCTGGCACACAGCAACATAGCGGTCATAGGCCATCACAGCCAAGAGCAGACACTCTGTGGCGCCCAGGTCCAGGGCAAAGAAGAACTGGAGTGCACACCCTTCATATGTGATTGACTTTTTTGACCCCCACAGATTCACCAGCATCTGGGGGACAATGGTGGTTGTATAGCAGAGATCCAAGAGCGACAGGTTGGAGAGGAAGAAGTACATGGGCGTGTGGAGCTGGGCGTCCAGGTGAGACACCAGGATGATGGTTGAGTTTCCCACCAGAGTCACGAGATAGGAGAGGAAGACCACCACGGAGATGACACGTTCTACTCCAGGTCTGTCAGAAAACCCCAGAAGGATGAAGTCTGTCCCATAACTCTCATTGTTTGCATCCATTGTTCTTTTGGAAGCGAGGAGATAACACCATATTAGCAACAACAATAACAAAATATTGTCGACAATACTGATGTACAATCAAGACATTTGAAGTCTGTCCCAGAACTCTCATTGCTTACGTCCATTGTTCTTTTGGAAGTGAGGAGAAAATAACTTGTTAGCAACAACAATAAAAGCAAAATATGCCAACTCCAGTTAGAACTGAAAATCTCTATAGACTGTGATACATATCCAACACTCACTTGTTTCACTATTTTCTCATTTGAAACAACATTTTGAACATGTGTCCTGAGTTCAGAGTCTCAGTCTCTCCATGTTTACATCATGTATGTTAAACCCTATGTACTGGTTGTCACAGCACTCAAAGGGAGAGAGATAAAAAAGGCAATGCCCAGCCACAGAGGTAGGGTGGGCTGGGGGAATGGGGGTGGGAGGGATACTGGGACTGGTGGTGGTGGAGAATGGGCACTGGTGGAGGGATGGGTACTTGATCATTGTATAATTGAAACCCAAGCACAAAAATCTGTAAGTCTACAACTGTTCCTCATGGTGTTTCACTAATAAAAATTTAAGAAAAAAAACCCAAAAAAACAACAAAAAACCCGGTATATACTGGTTGTAAACCACTGAAGAGGTTCAATATATTATATTATCCATGCTTTATGTATTATGATGATTCACTAGACCCAGGAAATAATTGAATCATTTTAAGAATAAGATATAGTCTTATTTACTGAGTTAAAATTCGACTAGTTTAAGAAGTGTTAGGTTGCAATGTATGGATAGCAACGTTTGTGTTGGCATCTACTCACCTGCTTATTCAGCAAAATTAGCAAGACGAATTCAATAAAAAGAATTTAACAAAAATAATTCATCTCGTAATCAGTGTATTGTATTCTCCACGGAATGCACCAATCTATGCAAAACCTCTGGCTGCCTTGTGAGACCCACCTGGGTTTGGTCCCTGGCATCCCATGTGGCCCTCTGAGAACCATCTGGACTGATTCTTGATCGCAGAGCCAGGAGTTAACAATGGCATAGCGAGGAATGGCCCCCAAAACGAAAAACAACATGCAGGGGGGCAAATACCTGGTTCACCATTTGGAAGCAAGGCCTCCTCTGCCGTCAGTCTTTGAAGTTCTGGTGTTTAAATGAAGGCAATAGTACTTCCTTTCTCAAATCCGTGGGGTAGTTTCATCTTACGAAAACTTTGGAGCATGTTGTTCATATTTAATTACAAAGTACAAAACTCTCGTCATCTTTTTATTCCGTCTACCCTGTAGGTCTCCATTGCTCTTTCGGTGAGTTGCTCAAGATGGTCTGAGTTAATGGAAATGTTGGAAATTGCACTGCTTTAGAACACAAAAAGTCAGAGAGATAGTACAGAGGATAGGACACTTGCCTTGCACACAGTGGAGCTGGGTTAGATCTCAGGCACCCCATATAGTCCCCTGAGCCCCGCCAGGAAAAATTCCCGAGTGCAGAGCCAGGAGTAAAACGGAGCATTGCCAGGTTTGACCCCAAAACCAATAGATATGTACGCAAAAGTGCATATGAACAAACTAAACATGCTGAATTGACTAACCCTAGAAGCAAGAGAGGGCTTGAACTTCCAAAATCTTCCATGACAAAAAATACAACTGTACCTTTCTCCCCTCCACATGACTGTGTGCAAGGGAAACGCCCTCTCCACCACACTCTTTCACTGTCCCTAATTGAATATTGTTTTTAAATCATTGAAAGTTGGGATAGACTTGGAGTTCAGCCTCCGGCCAGCCTAGGGAGCTTCCACAGGCGCTCATGACTCACTCATCCATCAGGAATCCAGGTGCCCGGTTCAGCCACTTCCCCTCATCAGTACTCTTCCCTCCTTCCGGTGATCGGCTCAATGATGCTTGTTTGTGATACCCAGATAAGAGCTTTTTTTCCTTCTTTCTTTCTTTCTTTCTTTCTTTCTTTCTTTCTTTCTTTCTTTCTTTCTTTCTTTCTTTCTTTCTTTCCTTCCTTCCTTCCTTCCTTCCTTCCTTTCTTTCTTTCTTTCTTTCTTTCTTTCTTTCTTTCTTTCTTTCTTTCTTATTATTATTGTCCCTGTCCCTGTCCCTGTCCCTGTCCTCCCGTTGTTCATTGATTTGCTCGAGTGGGCTCAGTAACGTCTCCATTGGAGACTTTGTTGTTATTGTGTTTGGCATACCGAATACATCACAGGTAGCTTGCTAGGCTCTGCCGTGCGGGCGAGATACTCTCGGTAGCTTGCCGGGCTCTCCGAGAGGGGCGGAGGAATTGAACTTGGGTCGGCCATGTTGGCTGTGTGCAAGGCAAACGCCCTACCGCTGTGCTATTATTATTATTATTATTATTATTATTTAATTGAATCACCGTGAGAAGATACAGTTATGTTTTCATGTTTGAGTTTTAATCATGCAATGATTAAACACCCATCCCTCCACCAGTGCACATTCTCTACTACAAAAGTTCCCAGTATACTCCCCCTCTTTCCAACTCTCCCCCGGTCTCCATGTCAGACAATTTCCCCCATACTCTCTCTCTACTTTTGGGCATTATGGTTTGCAATACAGATACTGAGAGGACATCATGTTTGGTCCTTTATCTGCTTTCAGCACACATCTCCCATCCCGACTGATTCCTCCAGCCATCATTGTTTTAGTGATCTCTTCTCTATCCCAGCTGCCTTCTCCCCCAGTTCATGAAGCAGGAAAAGCTTTTATTTTCAGCAACAAAAAAAATGCTGCTGCTGTATGATTGAAATGAATGTTCTGGTAACTGACCCCCAGGTACAAGCAGAACATGACTTAGTATTAGAGAGCTTCTCTAAGAGCCCCACCCACTCAGAATGCTGTGAAGCCCCCTCCTCCCCAAGTATCCATATGCTAATTTTCACAGTGATTGAGTCCTTGTATTTTAATAACTCAGTTCTTCAGGGGAGCTCCTTTAGACAATCTGGATTAGCTCATATTTCTCCCATGTCTTTCAGGTATGTTACTATTAGGTTCTGTTATCAAATATACTCTAGACTGACCTTCCTTAGTTAGTCATATCAATCACTGTGGGCTCTTCCTGACAGTGTCTAATCCTTAGTTATCTGTCTTTCCTGGGTCTTTTCTACCTGACACACATGGATTTTCAAAAGCCTCATTTTGGTGAATTTAAGAGCTAAGAGAGCAGTTCAGATGATCTGTGATGCTATAAGAGAATGAAAACTTGTATGATTAACCTACGTTATCTAAAATATACAGGGTCCAGAGAGATAGTATGGCCATCAGGGCACTTGCCTGACATGTGGCTGACCTGGATTCATTACCAGGCACCCCACATTGACCTTCAAGCACTGTCAGGAGTGATCCCTGAGAGAAGAGTCAGAGTTAGCCCTGATCTCTGCTGGATGCAGTCCAAGGGACCCCCCCCCCACCCCGATTACATACAAATCATTAACCAAGATCTTTGGCACATAAAGAATATTCAGTGATGTCAAAACCCACTGCTGCTCTTGTCGAAATTTAATATAGTATATAGTCCCCAACCCTGAGAGGCAATAGAATATTCATATTTATTAATATCTCACATACCTTTTCTCTTTCTCCTTTCATATTTGAATGACGTTTATGCTCTTTGAGATCTGTTTTCTACTCTGGCTGCTAACATGTTGAGGTAGCAGAGAATACTTACTAGGAACCAACAATATCAGGGCATATTTCCACTTCCTGAGGGAAGACCTCACAGCAATCACACTCTCCTGTCATCTAACTGTGCTGCCGTTCCCAGTCGGATTATTCTCCATTTTACCGAGCATTTAGTGTCTCAGTTAGCACTTACAATATTATCAGAAATTTTGGGTTAACCACCAGCTCTACGTACTACTGCCAAAGTCACGTTCACCTTTGACTGCCAGCCGAACTGAGATTTCACTCAAGTCTCTGATGTGGATGAGGGATCACAAGCAAATGTAGGGCTGGTGGCTGGTCAGCCAGGTTTTGTTAAGTATAGTTTGACAGAGTATCACTAGACACCTTTGTAGGTAGATTCTGCCTAACTGAGAAAAATGCTCAGCATGATCTTCGTATGTACTGTGAGATCATTCCTTAGTGGGAGGAAGCATTTATGCATGTCTAAAGGCTGCTTTGCTTAGGTGATTTCTACCTTGGGGATTGTACTCTCAGAGGTGATTAAGAAGTCTATGACTATGGGCAGAGTCTCTATCCAAGCAGCAATTTTATGCAAAGATCCCTTAAGACATTGTCTCATGTTTTCTTTTCCTTTTCATTAAAAATTATCTATGGAAGCTAATGTAAGAAATGAGCTTTTTATGCATTATACTGAACTTTGAAAACATAAGTATATAAATTAATACATTCAATTGAATTTAGTTAATTATATGGGAGAGGCAGCAAATATTGAGAAAATCTGCAACTATCTAGTTTTTATGTACACAGGAAGGAAGCTATTTGTTGATAAATATAAAATTAGTACTTCTAATTAGTAGTGAATATACATAGAACAGACATAATGGAACATGAAATATATATTAAATTTTACAAGCATTTTCTCTCCAAGATAGCTTTATCAATTTATCCTACTCAAAGACTATATTGCCTTTGGGCTGGAGTGATAGCAAAGCGAGTAGGGCATTTGCCTTGCAGTCAACCCAGGTTCAATTCCCAGCATCCCATATGGTCCCCCGAGCACCACCAGGAGTAATTCCTGAGTGCATGAACCAGGAGTAACCCCTGAGAATCGCCGGGTGTGACCCAAAGAAGCAAAATAAAAACAAACAACAACAAAACAACAACAAAAAACCCTGATACTCTGATTACCTTTGATCTTACCGCTCAGATGAAGATCTAGAACCTTAGCTCAGTTCCAACCTTGCATATTTATACTCTATTCCTTCCCTCTTGGCCCCAAGAAACCATGTCCTTGGCTTGTGTGTCCTTGACATACTTGATTTAAGATAAAATTTATGTGTTAATATGCGCACATACATA